TACTCATACCTGATGGGCCACTTGGAAAGTTGGAAATTACTGATGCACTACAATTGTATGGGTCCTGCTCAGGTTCTGTGAGAGTGGCTGACCAAAGGGGATCGCTTGCTCTGCACCGACGCCATTCATTGAATGCCTTGTATTTTTTTCAATGCATAAAAAGGTAGTTTATCACATAAACAGTGCTAGTTCATACCACTGTGCCCTCTTCATACTGAATCAAGGACAGCATGCAGGCCCTGATGGCACCACCTCCTTACAGGTAAGCAGAGACTTCACTTCCATCTGCGTCTTGCCTGTTTATTGGATGTGTCATTTTACTTCTTTCACACTTTTTCCTGCTGGACTCATGGATCTTTAAGTTGGCCACCTGAATTCCTTTGTCTCAGGTAAGGTTGGCGTTACCAGTATCTGCATTAGGATGTGTGATTTCCTTGGGGTTGCAGTGCCTTATGAAGCTTTGTTTTTGTGTTTTCTTTCAGACGCAAGCTCAGGATAAATCTAAGCCTCCCCCTGTTTAATGCAACATTCAATTAGGTACTTATTCAAGTAATTATTTTCTTTATTTTTTAACTCGCTTTATTGAGAATATTCAATAAAAATACATTGACAGAGCTGTGTGTATATATATATACACACACACACACACATATATATATATATATATATATATATACACACACACACACACACCTTTCATATATACAGATCAAGATTAATCCACAAAAGGTCATACAGCACAAAAAAAACACACTACGCGAGTGAATGTAAGAGGATTACATCATTGTCAGAAGAGTAAAAAAAAAAGAAAGAAAAAAACCGAAACAGAACAATACTTGTACAACCAGCTTAAAATGAAGCATGTAGTTTCCCTGTATTTACCTGAATAAAAAATACAGGCACCCTAAGAGGTTAGTCTGTCATTATTTATGGTCTTGCGGTATCATAGTAGAATTCAACACATGGTAGAACATAATACACACATATGGTGTTACCAGTCAGAATGCAGAGATTTGCTGTGGGATAGGGTTAGATTTTAAGAAGAAGCGAATCACTAGGGACATGCTTTGTAGTTGCTCTCGGACCTAAAACCCCAACGTCAACCAAATTATAGGCTGGCTGCTGCAACTCTCTATACGAGGAAACAAAGACAAGTAAATGGATTTATCAGTGAGCATGGTGATGCCAACTCCCCAGCAGGAAGGATGCAGGATAAGAAAAGATATGGATGACCCTTTAAAAACCTATGAGACATATAGCATTCAAGATGCAAAAGGGTCTGTGTCTTTAAGTGATCTATTGTGTCAAAGCCTCAAAAAGAGTACACAAAATGCTCACAGTACCCGATAAGGAATGTCTTTATCCATATAAGAAGCCTTCTTTTCTAAAGGTTTGAAGCACCTTTGATTAGGAACCTGCTCTTCTTTGTAGCAGGAACCCTAGGCTCAATGCACCCTTTTCTCAAGTGTCCAAGTCTACTGCCTTTTCCTTTGAAGACAGGTATCCTAGAGGACCCCTCAGTTAAAAGGATGGGTGGAGTTGTACAAGTGTGAACGGAGCCTTAAAACACAAAGTTGCATGACTTTGGAGTGCAACTTTAATGCAACGTTGGATGGGTGCAACTTGGATACAACTCTGGCTTTCATTAATGATAATGGACAACTGTTGCATGTATAACATTCAGCTGCAACTCTATATACAACTTTTGAGGATTTTCTTTGGTACAACTTCATGCAACTTGGAGTGCCATAGACTGCAAAGTAGTGCATGAACTACTATGAAGTCGCTGTGACTTGAAGTGGCACAGATATGAATGGTACCCATTTGGAAACATGGGGGTGACTTGTCATGTGACTTTGGACCACAAGTGTGAATGTGCTCTAAAGTAAGCTTGGGAATCTACACATACTAACCTAAAAACAACTCTTGTACTTGCCAATACTTATATGAACTTTAACCTTAACTATTGGATTACACAAAAACACATCTGAAATGCCAAAAGAGAAGAAGATTTAGCAATTTTTTTCTCACGCTTTTCAAAGCAGCAGAATATATTGACGATTCTTCAGCTGAATCAGTAAGAATGTCCACTAAATATGCGGCTTTCATCAATTCCTTCCACAGAACCTTGTGGCTTAAAATGTGACCCAGCAATCTGACTTCAAAAATGTGCATTATTCCTTGTTCTGGGGAGCTGTTGTTCAATCCTGATCTACAGTCTTGCAGTAATCTTGGAGAGTACATCTGATAGAAATAAGCCTTTACCATAAAAATGAACAAGGCTCCAGCCAAGTGTATTTCTAATAAATCAAAGAACCAAGGTAATTTTCTTATTAACCAGTAGGTGAGTGTTGATGTCACTACCCATAAGAAGAGGAAAACAAAAGGTTACTATTCTCATGTTTTTGTAGTTCAGAAACCTTCAGGCAAGTTTTACCTGACCCTAAGGCCTCTGAACAAATCCATAACTTATAAAAGTCCAATATACATTCCATCTTTTTTGGCAAAAACTATTCCTCCACCATATACACAGCATCAGTCGACCTAAAGGATGTCTATCTGCATATGCCCATTCATCCAACCGCCCACCGCTATCTCCAGCTGACAGAGAAGAAAATAAACTCAGTTCAGTGCTCTTCCTTTCCGGCTGTCCGACACACAGACTCTACACAAGATGATGGCAGAGGCATTGGCACTCTTGATGCTTGTGGTCAAAAGCTGAAAAAAATGTCTGACTAAAGAAAACCCAGAACCTAAGCAAAACAAAGAGGTCTGAAGGTTAAGTGCAGAAGTCTCACTATACAAAAGAAATCCTTCCATACGTGATGATACGCCTTGCAAAATGAACATGGTCCAGGTGCTGAGGCCCCACTGTCTCAGCACCTGGACTTCAATAGCCATATCATTAGAGAACAAAGGCCAAACTGGGGTCTGCTGGGGTGAATGACCAAATCTGACAAAACTTTTTGATCTAGGAGAACTAGAGAAAGCTTTCCCACCTCCACAGACACTACACTAAACTGAGTTGCTAATCCACATGCAAGGGTTGGTAGATGGGGCTGTGCCCTTTTGCTTTGCCTAGAGTTCAAATCTTTAGTGACAGAAGCTATACCTTTGGAAGAATATAATCCTGTGTCTCCCAAAAATGAAAAGAGGTTGCCTAGCTTCCTCACACGAGCTTCACACAAGCACACTTATCCAACACAAATGTAACAATGCTGACATTCTGCATTCCACCAAAACTGGCAAGCTTCCTTCCACTCAAACTGCCCACAAAATATTTACATCTTGGTCCTCACGGCTAAATACGCAAGGCTACAGCATGCTTATGTACTTTCCCAGCTGCAGGTTCATCACTATATCTGGCTGACTGATGGGAAAAAAAGATAATGCTACTTTGTGGAACTGCTGCTTATCTGCAGTTAGAGGCTCAGATAAGCTGCAATGTACAGTATTAAAAAGGGAATCGTCACCCACTGCTTCTTTTCATGCTGCAGAAGACAACAAGCACATAGGCTGTCTTTGTTACACACACTTGGGTTCCTGTAGTCGTTTTCTGTAGCCTCAAATGGTAGCAGAATTTATGATCTCTCCTCTCCACACATCCCTGTGCGGTTTTAAGCAATGCAGTCCAGATCCAGAAGGAATAAAATAAGCATTCCTCAAATGAAAGTATGGAAGAAAATCAAGAACTAAACATATGATAAAAGCTACATCTTTCCTCTTCATCAAGAACATACTATCCATCAAAAATGTGTTACAATTGTTCATACATTCGCTGTGTTATTGCTACAACATCAGTTGAAGGTTCCATGCACACTGGCTTAATAAAATAAAAAAAAAAGAAGAAAGAAAATCAGTCGCTGCTTCTACAGGAGTTTTTTTTGCTTTGCCTGTAGAAGCAGCTCAGTGTTATCCTATGTGTAAAAAAAAAAAAAAACAAAAAAAAAAAAAAAAAAAAACACATTTTGATATTTATTTGATACATGCAAAAGTATGTGGTTAAGAAGTTTTTTAGAATTCGGTCCTTTGCATTATTCCCTATTACAGCTATAAAAATACCATCTAGGCCCACTGTCCTGGGGAATATTCGCAGAACAGGGTATTTTGAGAGTTCCCATAGATACCCATATTGTAAATTGTTTTGCACCAACACTCTTTGTACCCATTACAGCCTCATCTGGTGCCTGAACAGTCACCTGATCCTCTCCTTTTTCCAACCTTACCCAAATACCTGTATTAAGAGACAACCTCTGCAGCAGTCCCATTCCATACCAATGCCTTAGCATTCAGTTTGTTTCCTCCTCTTCCTGCGCAATCGCACGCCAACCATCAATCATCAATGAAGTTAACACTATTTTAAGCCAACTAAAACACAACTAAACTAAAACAAGTCAGATGACTAAAATACAACTAGAAAAACATCATTTTAGTAAAAAATACTATGACTAAAACTAAATTAAAATCAGTACATTTTAGTCAACTAAAATCTTATGGGTTTAGTTAAATGTAATGCTTAAGCATTTCTCTAGCATTTCCACACTCATTATATACTCTTGGAGTAAAAAAAAAAAAAATCTAATAACCTGTTATTATTTATGGTATTAAGATTTGAACATGCACTACAGCCACAGATTTAGCTGTATAATATATCACAATGGCTAAATCGGAGTCTGAGGTACATGTTCAAAACTTAATATCATAAATAATAACAGGTTATTAGATTTTTTTACTCCAGGAGTATATAATGACTTTGGAAATTCTAGAGAAATGCTTAAAAAAAATGCATTAAAATGTACCTAAACCCATTTGATTTTAGTTGACTAAAATGATTTTGGTCAACTAAAATGTAGGAGATTCTAGATGGCTAAAATGTACTGGAGATTCTAGTCGACTAAAAATACAGCTAAAACTAAAACAATTCAGATGACTAAAACACGACTAAAACTAAAATGGCATTTTAGTAAAATGACTATGACTGACTAAAACTAAATCGAACTTTGACGTCACAATTAACACCGATGCCATCATCTTATTCCCTCCAGTCATATACATTACAAAAAACAGTGCATATATGTAGAGCAACATACAGTTTTTATCCATTCCTCAGTTGATACAACCCTAAACAAGATTTTTCAAGGACTCACTCTTTCTAGACTGGAAACATACCAACCTTAAGACCTCTCAGGATCTGGTATACAAGAAACTGGATTCGATCTTCTGATAATTTCTCATGCTTCATTATCTTACCCAAGTCTGTGCCCATAAAAGGCATAACTAGATAACTGCAAGAAAAACAAAAATGAATAAAAAAAAGTTATATATGCAAAACAACCTGGTATTAGCATTTCAAAAAGCAACAGGACAAAAAGCTGCTGTTGTATCAGTTTTCTGGAGATGAAATGTGAGATAAATAGGACGACAGTACATTTCTAGTGAATTGCGGTTTGCCTGTTACTCCAAAAAGGAAAATGACCGAGTATCAGTTTCTCAGAATTCATTTCTAATTAAATTCCAGATCACCAAATTCTTGCATTTCAGCTATGGGTGAAATCTGGTGGGTCAAATTACCCACTTTCAGGGACTACAGGGAAAAATATTCCTGTAATGTAGTTTCTGGTTCAGCACATCCTCATCCATTGTACTGTGCACCTCCCACTACTACAAGATGCAGTACTGTAGTGAAACAGAGCTCACCTGGGGGCCATGTACAATGCAGAAGACAAAAAAAAAAATATAATATAAATAAAAATATATATATATATATATATATATATATATATATATATATATATTTTTTTTTTTTTATGCATTGTACATGGCCCTCAGGCCATGTACAATGCAGAAGACAAAAAAGACATATATATATATATATATACATACACACACACACACACACACACACATATATATATATAAATAAAAATATATATATATAAAAATATAAATAAAAGTGGGCGATTCACCCTGACAATGTAAATCCTAAACTAAAAAGTGTTAGCATTGGGAGAAGTAACCATTTAAACCAGACTCACAATCTTGAATTAACAGCTTTATTCCACATTAAAAATGTACTAGATAACCTAATATAATAAAAGCTTGCCGTGCTAGAGAGTGTGTGTGTGGGTGGTGTGCTTAGATGAAAAGTAAGGTCAATAGATCTGCACAAAGTGCTTACTTTTGTTTATTGCAAGGAAACAAGATGCACATTGTGTTATAAAGTGCCTGTTCAGGTAAGAGACATAACGAATTGCATATAGATATCCAATGTTAGAATTTACAATAAAAGGAGATCTCAATGTAAAAAACAAAACATAATATGGCGACTTGAGCATATACACACTAAATATAAGATCTGTAATCACTTGTCCACCAACACCATTTATAAACCGAGTCTGTTAGAATGGGATTTTAAACCAGTTGTGTACCACCTACCGCAATTTTACTGCAGTAGAGGCACCCCGTTACACCAGATCATAAATTATATATATATATATATATATATATATATATATATATATATATATATTATGGGTCTTTTCTGTCATTTGCTACAACACCAGTCAAAAGTCCCAGCCAATGATTTCTGGCTGGTATCTGCTTGGCTAAGCGAACGACAGTACAGTGCCCTGTGTTTACAAAGAACACAGGGCTCTGTACACAGGAGCAGAGATGTGTCAGTTTTTTCTCCCTTCAAGCAGAGAGAAAAACAACAACACACATCTAGCAGTAAAAGCAGCAGCACTCATTATGCATGGTTAAGCACACAGTTAACCCTTTGATTGACCCTAGCTGTTAACCCCTTCCCAGTGTCATTAGTACAGCGACCGTGTATAGTATTATCACTGATCACTGCATTAGTGTCACTGGAGTGGTCAGTGTCCATCAGTTCTCACCCAGTGTCAATTTGCCCACCGCACTGGTCATTAGTAGTATAATGAATAAATATTCCAGTATATACACCATCGTTTCTAGACACTATACCTTTCACACAAACCAATCAATCAATATACATTTTGGCCTAAATTTGATTTTTTTTTGGATTTTTTATTGGATATAGGTTTTATAGCAGAAACATTTTTTTTTCCAATATTTTCAGTATTTTTACATTTATATAATAAACAACCCAGTGGTGATCAAATATAACCAAAAGAAAGCTCTATTTGTGTGAAAAAAATAAATATAAAATTTCATTTGTGTACAGTGTTGCATGACCACACAATTGCCAGTTAGAGTACTGCCAAATAGCAAACAATGCCCTGGTCACGAAAGGGGTAAAATCTTCCAGAATCTAATTTGTTAAACATACTCCCAACATTTTTAAATTTGTTAAGCCAACTGTGCCCGAGCCCTTCCACACCTGTCAAAAAGGTATCTCCCCCCCACTACACTATCCCACCTGTAGGTCCTACACATGCTTGGTGGGAGTTGGAGGGAGATTAGTGCTGAAAGAACATTTTTATTATGTAATTTCCAGGTTCAGTCCTGTCATTCCCCAGCTGCTGCGGTCAGGGAAGCAGCTAATGGGCAACAATATGTGCGCCATTAGCTGCAGTGACGTTTTTCAGGCAGAACTGATCGAACCCTCCATTCACCCCTATGGACCAGTGGGCATAAACAGACTTGTGTACATCCCGTTTGCCCACCAATTCGATCCAGTCCACTAAATCGAGTCTAGGCGGATCAGATAAGAGGGTAGTTGGGTATAAATGGACTGCTGCCAATAAAGCAGACCAGGCTCTGGATCAATTGAGCAGACGCAGACCTGTCATCCGTCTGCTCTGCTCTGATCAGTGGACAGATTCTCTGGTGATCTAAACAGAGCCAGCCTCGTGACTCCTGATGTCCGAATAAAGAGAACTTGTCATTACGGTGTTCTATCACCGATGTGACAGCAATAAAAAGTTTAGTGTAAAAAAGTTTAAAACATAATGTAACATATAATAATAATAATAAAAAAAAAAAAAACCAACACAAAAAAGTACTATTCTCAACCATGACATACACGCACATAAGAACATAAAACACAGGTGAGTGCGCCTCCATAAAAAAGGTTTGCGACACAAGTGAGGAAGCACCACAAACATCTGAGTGAAAGCAATAATTCTATGGCTGACATTCATGGTTAATTCTTAACTGATAAACCTGTTAAGACTTTTATTGGACAATTCTGTGTACAGACGTTTGTCACATTTTTAAGACTTGTCAAGTTTGATAAACTTTACTCATTGAAACTTCATCTTTCATATTACAACAAAAATTGGGTTGTGTTTGTGTGCACTTAAATGAACTTATTTTTTTTTTTACAAAAAATGTGCTTTTGATAAACATATGTGCTCATATCACATTACATAAAAATTGCAACTACCACCGTTTTATTCTCCATGGTATGTGCTCTCAGAAAATAGTTTTGGAGAAAGGGTTAACAAACCATTCTCAGTATGAATCATTAATCACTACCCTCCGAATACAGTCTTTTAGCCAGTTTTCAATCTATTAACAAACTTAAAAGAATATGTAAACCCAACATTTCATATCCCTTATATGTGCCTGCTACACTATGTACTTATGAAAAATAGCAGTGCACCAAAATAAAAATTCTAGACTGAAACCAAAAATTCAGGATGCACTTGGTCAAAAACCGATATATACAGTGCATCCAGAAAGTATTCACAGCACTTAACTTTTGCCACATTTGGTTATGTTACAGCCTTATTCCAAAATGGATTAAATTCATTTTTTTTCTCCTCAACATTTTACAAACAATACCCCATAATGACAACGTGAAAGAAGTTAGTTTTGAAATCTTTGCAATTTATTAAAAAAAAAAAAAAGCAAAAAAAAAAAAAAACATGTACATAAGTATTCACAGCCTTTGCCATGACACTCAAAATTGAGTTCTGGTGCATTCTGTTCCCACTGATCATCCTTGAGATGTTTCCACAACTTTATTGGAATCCACATGTGCGAAATTCAGTTGATTGGACATGATTAGGAAAGGCATAAACCAGTCTATATAAAAAGGTCCCACAGTTAACATTGCATGTCAGAGCACAAACTAAGCCATGAAGTCCAAGGAATTGTCTGTAGACCTCCAAGACAGGATTGTATCAGGGCACAGATCTGGGGAAGGATACAGAAAAATTTCTGCAGCATTGAAGGTCCCAATGAGCACAGTGGCATCCATCATCCATAAATGGAAGACGTTTGGAACCACCAGGAATCTTCCTAGAGAGGGCCGCCCGGCCAAAATGAGCGATCGAGGGAGAGGGGCCTTAACCAGGGGAGGTAACCAAGCACCCTATGGTTACTCTGAAAGAGCTCCAGAATTTCTCTGTGGAGAGAGGAGAACCTTCCAGAAGAACAACCACCTATGCAGCACTCCACCAATCAGGCCTCTATGGTAGAGTGGCCAGACGGAAGCCACTCCTCAGTAAAATGGCAAATGGCAGCCCGCCTGGGGTTTACCAAAAGGCACATGAGGGACTCTCAGACCATGAGAAACAAAACTCTCTGGTGTGATGAAACAAAGATTGAACTCTTTGGCCTGAATGCCAAGTGTCATGTCTGGAGGAAACCAGGCACTGCTCAGCACCCAGCCAATACCATCCCTACAGTGAAGCATGGTGGTGGCAGCATCATGCTGGGGGGATGTTTTTTCAGCGGCAGGAACTGGGAGACTAGTCAGGATTGAAGGAGATGAATGCAGCAATGTACAGTGACATCCTTGATGAAAACCTGGTCCAGAGCGCTCTGGACTTGAGACTGGGGTGACTTCATCGTTCAACAGGACAACGACTCTAAGCACACAGCTCACAGCCCACATAACAAAGGAGTGGCTACAGGCCATCTCTGTGAATGTCCTCGAGTGGCCAAGCCAGAGCCCAGACTTGAACATCTCTGGACAGATCTGAAATTGGCTGTGCACCAACGCTCCCCACCCAACCTGATGGAGCTTGAGAGGTACTGCAAATAAGAATGGAAGAAATTGCCCGAAAATAGGTGTGCCAAGCTTGTACATCATACTCAAAACGACTTGAGGCTGTAATTGGTGCTAAAGGGGCTTCAACAAAGTATTAAGCAAAAGGATGTGAATACTTATGTACGTGTTTTTTTTTTTTTTTTTTTTTATAAATTGCAAAGATTTCAACGCAAACTTCTTTCACGTTGTCATTGTGGAGTATTGTTTGTAGAATGTTGAGGGAAAAAAAATTAATTTAACCCATTTTGGAATAAGGCTGTAACATAACAAAATGTGGCAAAAGTAGCGCTGTGAATACTTATA